TTTCGGAGGCCAAGCGATCCATACTTTGCTTCCACCCGAGGGTTACAACCTCTTTGGTCTTAAGCTCCTCCGAAGTCACTCCGCCAGGTCGGCCTTCTCCTGGAACTGCAAAGGTGGAACATTAGACGCCAAAACAAACAAATACAAAATGCGCCCACAAAGGATATATTACCTTTTCAACGAGCTCGGCCCGCTCTTGGGAAGCTTATCTTGTTCGAAGATCATTAAGTTCACCCTCTCTTTCGGCATAGAGAGCCTTGAGTCCGTCCATCTCATACATAAGCTTCCTGAGCTCGTCTTCACATCGGGCAAGCTCAGCTCGAGACTTGGAAAAAGCTCGATCAAAGAGCATTGCAGACTAAAACACAAAGGAAGGAGGTCAGAAAAGCAGGAACCTAACTCTAAATGTAGCTATCAAGTCAAAGTTTACCTACTTTCGAAGCTTCTCGGCCTCTTCGGGGATGAATGAGGCATCTAGGTCGGGACCCTCCTCGATCCCGGCAAGGCATTCAACGAAAATATTATTCTCCCCGTGGGATGTTCCCACATCAGGAGTCTTCATATCTAAGGCATCCCGTTTTTTCCTCTTAGAAAATGATGGGCCTGGTGGAGAGTCGTCCACGTCAATCATCCCGAGCGGCTCAATCGGGGCCATATCCCGCCTTCGAGGAACCTCAGGGCTGGGCTCTCTGAGTTCATCGAACAAGTCCCTTCAGGACGGGGCATTTTCTTGCCACTAGTCGGTTCGAGAACCTTGCTCGAGCTCCCGAGAACTTGCACAGCTTGAGGTTGAACCGCTTCGGTGGCCTCCGGCTTAGCAGCCTTTGCAAGATTGGTGCCTCCTTCTCTCCGAGTTATTAGCGGATGAATATCTTCGTCCTCGGCCCCATCTCTCTCTTCGTCCTCAGCACGAAGACGTGCAACAATTTCCCGAGTCAAGGCTACCGTATCGGCCCTAGGTTTTTGAAGCTTGGTCTTTCTTGGCTTCGGGGACTCTGCCAGAGACCCTTTCCTACTTTTCTTGTCCTTGGCAGGTTTTTGGATCTCTCCTTCGCCTGGTGTGGGCGGCCTCATCAAAACAACATCTCCGAGGCCTGCACAAGCATAAAGCTAAGTGTATTACTGAGGAGTGTTTCAATAAGGGATTTAAATATGCAAATAATAAGGACTCACCGTGGTTTTTAGTCTCCCATCGGCCTTTGGCCAAATCACGCCAGACGCGCTCGGTATATGTGGAAGTGGAAGCTAGTTGCCGAACCCAGCCCGGGAGGTCCGCAACCACACCTGGATAATAATCAACGGCTTCTTCATCAAAAGGGAGTTAGTTCAAAGGAAAGTGAAAATGTCTAAGTAATGAAACATGCTCGATAGGTCTGTATTTACGCCTCATATTCCATTCCTCGGGGAACGACATCTTCTCAGCGGGAATCAGGTCGGAGGTCCTGACTTGAACGAAGCAGCTCATCCACCCTCGGTCTTTGTCCTCATCGAATCTAGCGAAGAAAGACTTCGGAGACCGACGTTACAATTTTATCAGACCACCTCGATAGAGACGAGGGCTGTATAATCTGATCAGATGGTCGAGGGTAAAAGACATCCTCTCGACCTTGCTCGAAAAGTACCTAATTAAGTGAACAATACGCCAGAATGAAGGATAAATTTGGCCGAGTGTCACTTGATATTATCGACAGAAATGGAGGATCACTAGGTCTAGAAAGGGCAAAGAAGGATCTACAGGACCTAAGGTAAATGGGTATGTGTATATGCTTAGGTACCCCGCTTTGTGAGTGGTAATATCCTCATCAGGTGAATGGATCTCCACGTGCACTTCATCTCCCCAACGGCAATCTGCCGTCACTTGTTTGAGTTCGGTTATTAAGCTAATATACCGAGACATGGGTTCACATCGTCCTGGAACCGAAGTAGGCTTGTCGACCTTGAAATCGGAAGACGTATCACAAAGCCCGGTGGTGCACTCCTCAATGCGAGGAGGTACCACCATTTTGTTCTTCGACGGGCGTGAAGATGAAGAGGCTTTCTCTTTTTGTGGCGCTGTCTTAGAAGTTTTTGCCATTTTTGTTGTGAAAATTCAGAACAAGGAGAAGGAGCTGGTTAAGAAATGGGCACAAGGAAGGAATAAGTGCAAAGAGGATTTGATGATATTGTAAAAGTAAAAGTTTGAAAGGATTAGAGTATTTATAGGGGCTGTCTAAGTGTGTTGGAGAAGCTAAACAGGCGACCAATAGCCATTTTTCATTAAAGGCTTTTTGAAAACTGCGTAAGCGTAACTTTTGCACGACTTTTCAGTCATACGGACCGCTGACCTCATTAGACTGACATCACGATTGGGACATCGAAGGGGCGAGAATCAGATCGTTTCTTATCTTTTCATTCTAAGAAACACGGGGACTATCTGTGTACGGTTGAAATCGTAGAACTCGATTTCGAGGACTTAACGGTGCCCCAGGCTCGAGTTCGGGCAGCACAAAGTAAAAACCGGATTTGGCTGGAAAACACATATCTCGGGGAAGCGAATCGGGGACCCGATATGATCTACCTCGAGGGCAATACAATTTTGATGACACTCAAGAAAGAGCGGGAATTTCTCAAGGACACGTGGATCAGGGAATAAATTATGAGATAAGATTTGTACGAAATAGTACGATTCACTACTAGGTTGTTATACAGCTGTACTAATAGAATTCTTTACCATAATTGGGAATGTACCATATTAGGGTTTTCCCCTTCTATATAAAGGGGATCCCAATGATTTGTGAGGATCATCTTGTTCACTGCAATAGAATATTCTACTCTGCTTTTCTCGTTTACCGTGCTCTACAATGTTCTTCAGCTTTATTGCTATTACTTTATTGTTCATACTTTATTTGCTCTTAACTCACCTCGAGGCTCCAGAGATAATTGAGCTCGAGGTCCCCGTTGCTCTAACAACACTGGTTTGGTTCATCAATTCTTCTTACTTAAACTCGATATTACTCGTATATTCACTAGTATTGAAATAAATCACATATCTTTAAAACCACAAATCACCTTTAATTGTTGCATCCATTTTTCGAGGTAAACAAGCAAAAATGTTTACGTTCACAAAGTCTACCTGCCCAACCCCCAAAAAAAGAAAAGAAAAGCAATGCAGCACTGAAATGGAGATAATTGCCAAATCTAAAAATTAGCACATATGTTTACTACCTACGACACTCGACTCAATGGAGAACAGCGTAATGGCACGCACCATTTGGGAAAAATGTACTATAGCAATTGCAATGCATTCCTTGAAAACGGAGTAGTTAATTTCGTGCCTTCATTTGTACTCTAGATGAGCATAAGGTCAGCATTGCTTCTTCAGCTCTGAGGAACTTACATACCAATCCTTCTCGCCAAGATGTCAGTAGTGGAACTCACATAGCTTTTACCATGCCGGTTCGTGAAATGGGACTTATCAAGACTTCTTAGATTTGCTGAAACAAGAGAAAGCAATTACATCAGGAGTTTCAAAAGGATAAGAACTTGTCTTGTCTTGCTTTCTTGAGAAAAAGAAATGACATCTTGGGATAGCTACACATTAGGCACTTATTGGTATGATATATTTTTTGGATGTCATCAATTGAAGCAAGAATAGACGAATAAAAATATAATTATTTCAAGGAATAGAATAGGTGCTCTTCAACTTTTAGTCTTTAGCAAAAAAGGAGATTTAAAGATGACAGGATAAGGGATATGAGAATAAAATTAACAAATCCCTCCACTCACTCGTGCTCCTATAACAGAAATTTATGTAATTTCAAACTTGGGAATCTTATTAAGACACAAAACACAAGCATGATCGTCTGTTAGGGTTACACAAATATATATCATTTAGTTCTATGATGCAGTACCAGCAACAATGGCATATTAAACCAGGGTCTAACTTCCACAACTGCTAGCTACCATGTATTTGCCAATCTTAGGAGAACTAGCGGAGATGAATCATCACAACCATTTACTCACATGTTCGGCGAGACAGAATACTCAGGATTTTATAATAACTAGAAAAGGGAGGTCGCCTTCTATGTATACAAAAGCTTGTCCATCACAGACCAATAACTAATTGAGCCTCACTTATCCAAACACACCGAATTAACTTAATAATGAGGTCTTGTATATTTAATAACATCTTGCCGAGCCACTACACTTTCCTGAATGTGAAGTCCAATTTCCAACCTACTCGCACTTATTAGATGTGGTTGATGAGAGTGAGAAAACAAAATTTTTAGTTTTAAGAAAATCATTTTGAGAAAGACACAAAGCCTCTATAGTTCCCAAATTACTGACATAGCCAAGAATAAAATGACCTATAATATCCATCCAGTCTTATTGAAAAACACTACCATTGAACCATAGTAGACATCACATTAGTTCAAGGTTAGAATCTCTCTCTGATCAGATATGCTATAGTTTGCATCAGCATCGATGAAACATGTGCATTAAGAATATCATCACTTTCTAATCAAGGCTAATATTGAATAGAAGCACACATCTTAGAAAGGTTTAAACCCTCTAACTGACATAATAACCATATCGCCTCATCAGATATTCCTTGTGCAATAGCTAGGATAACCAAGGCCACAAGTCATTTTGAAGAGGCCGATTTGCAAGCAATTTAGAAAAAGTTGATGAAATTACATCGTGATTTTGAGACCACGACTCATAATTTCACTTACAGGGAAAAATGAACAATCATAAACCACTAGGTCATAGCTTGGGCTACATGATCACTTATCTATACTTTTCTTTCTGTAATTCTAGTGTCATGTATGTGGATATAGCCAATTCCAGTAGTGGGAAAATGGAATAAATTAATAAACAAAATTATCTAATGAATAGAATAGATGCTCATCAAATTGGCCATTTCCAGAAAAGAGATTCAAAGATGATAGAGTGGCTGATGTAAGGAGTAAAGAGAAATATTCCCACCACCAAAAACTGCTATATATAGGCGCTCAGAAAACCAGTCATTTCAAGCAAGCAAGTGATAAGAAGCTTGAACCCTTTGAATAATACTCTTCAAATAGTCCGTTTCAGTCATATTCAATGGCATCACTTCAGTGTAACAAGCCCGCTCAACATGCCCCATCCACTGTCTGTCAAAAGACCACCACCGTGACTTGCAACAAGGCCAACAATGAGCACCACTCTTTCGCTGACAAAATGAAAGATATGACTGGCAAAATGTATCACCATGACAATCACAATTATCAATCTGCCTGCCATGGCACCAAAACTCAACAAACATGCCATGGCACCAAAACTCAACAAACATGCCATGGCACCAAAACTCAACAATCATGCCATGGCACCAAAACTCAACAAACTGCTGCATGCCATGGCACCAAAACTCAACAATCTGCTGCATGCCATGGCACCAAAACTCAGCAATCTGCTGCCAGCCATGGCACCAAAACTCAACAAACTGCATGCCATGGCACAAGTGCAAGTGCTGCACATGCTGGGGCTTGTGGGAAAAAAAAGGAAGGCAATTTCATGCATAAGATGCGTGATCAAATGAGAAGCAGGAGGAACAGGAACAAGGACGGAAGTTGCAGCTATAGTAGCGACAGCAGCAGCAGTAGCAGCGATGAAAGCGACAACGAAAACTGTGGAAGGACCAAGGTATAACCATAATCTATATTTGAGGTATCACTAAGAATGCAACGGCCATAGAGGCCATGGTATACTTTCAGTAGAAAAGTTGCATAGAGCTTAAAACTTACAAATTGCATGATAATGTAATTGAAGTGGATAGCTAAGGCCTACCTAGTTTTGAACTTAAGTATGTATAGGCTTTTTATTACATCATATTAAATTGACCTACGGTAACATATAACTCTTCATAGGAAGTCAGATATGCTAACCTGAAAAATAGTGCAATAACTTGTTATAATCAATGTAGTGTAAGAGTTCTTCACAGTTCAATTTATATAATAGGGTTAAACCAAATACTCTGCCTGGAAAGGTTGGGTATAAATCACTGAAGGGTATATATATGGATTAACTAATGCACCTTCCACAATACTCACTGTCAATAAGCTCAATAAAGGAATACAAGCTCCTCTATTCCAGTTATCTTGCAATCTAAGTGTCTTATATTGTTTTTGCAGAAGAGAGGGAGCTGCTGATGAAGTAAGCAGCATAAATCAAACAAATAAGAGGTAGAAGCAATATACCCAATAAGGAACTTCTGTTTCTCAGTGAGTTCTGTATTTCACTTAAGAAAAAACAGAGGGCTATGCTGTCTCTGTGTGAGTGTGTGTTTGTGAGGTGTGCTCCATGAATAAATGCTACTCTAATAGTTTTATGTATTTATCATTTACCTACTAATGAGAAAAGGTTATGATTGTGACGTTGTCTAACTGTTGAAAACAAAATGGAAAATTAATAGGCAAATTAATTTGGTAGACTCATCCACATGATCATGAAAACAACGACCCAGTATAATCCCACAAGTGGGGTGTGGAGAGGATAATGTGTACGCAGACCTTACCTCTATCCCAATGGGGTAGAGAGGCTGTTTCCGATATCCACATGATCATGAAATGAGTAAATTAATGGTGAAACACAGAAAAGAAAGATTCGGCCACATTAGCCAATAATCATATTCAATGCATTCAAGCATCTGGAGGAACTTTCCTACAATAATTATTCAACAGATACATTCTCCTTCTTCAGGTTAAAATTATAAGCAACAAAGCTAACCGCAATTTCAAACTGAACAAGAGCTTGTTATTGATGAAGCCATTAGCAACGTATAAAATTAGGTCTTCTTCCTGATAGTTCAGATGTGTTATAAGACTTGCAAGAGCTCAAGAATCCTGGAAACTCGTCATAAAACTACAGAAATAAAACAAAGACTTTGCAGACAGCAGCTAATACATCTTTAGCCTAAAGTATTCAGATGACAATCCATCACGTTATAAGCCAAAGAAAGAAATCTCATCGGATGTTAATTTGAATGCCCATAAAAAAGGGAAGTAAAAACATTTCACTCTGTTTATAGAGAACTGCAAGCCTTTAATTGTCATGGACAGATCAAGGAATCCATCCGCAAGAGGAAAGCTGAGAGCATAAAATAGAGCTTCCAAATAATAATTTGCATTTGCAAGATTGTTATTCAAAGAAGTATTATAATAGCTGTTATTATCTTCATCGATAGTACAAGAAACTAGGTAATACTCCAATATAGCTTAATTTCTGAGCATGTTCAAAACTGATAAAAGTCATCAAGGCTTAACCAGTACGTCCACATGATATATAAAAGCTTTCTCTAGTTTGTTTTTACCTTGATATCTCTCTGTCACTTTTTGTCAAACACCAAACGAATTTCTTGAATTTATCCTCTAGAAGCAAACATAGAAAGACTTATACAATAAATAAGTGACGCATAATCAAACCCAATCTCCTATGGTTAACAGTAGTATCAAGCTGCCGTACATGCATCAAATCCACAATGGAAAAATCCCATACGGAAAGCATAACTAAAAGCTTAAAATTGAGTACAATTGGACATTTATGCAGACAACACCACAACGAAAAAGGAGAAAAAAACACTACATGATTCCTTCTAAGTCTTAGTTACCCGCACATGTGTGCACATATGTGATGATCCGATAGGTCATCTCATGATTTAGAATCAAACTCATGTTTCGAAGTCTTTAGAACCTCATTCTAGCCTTCCTCGATTTGCGTGCACAGTCCGGATATTGACCCGGAAGGCTTATATGCTAAAAATTGATAAAAACAACAATTTTTGCCTTAAAAGTAAATTTTTGTTGACTTCGATCGACATTTTCAGTAAATGGATCCGGACCCGTGTTTTGACTGTCCTGGTGGGTCCGTATTGAAATATGGAACCTGGGCATACACCCGGAATTGAATTCCGAGGTCCGTAGCTTGAGGTATGAATTTTTATTGAAAATTAAAAGTCTGAAAATCTAATGGTTTCTGAGAATTGATGGATGTTTGGCCTTGTTGATATCGAGTCCGTATTTTGGTTTCGGAGCCTGGTACATGTCCAATATAATATTTATGACTTTTTTGTAAAATTTGGTGAGAAACGGAATTGGTTTGACGTGATTCGGACGTCCAGTTGAGAAGTTAGAAGCTTCAAAATTTTCTGGAAAATTTCATTTGATATGGTGCTAAATTCGTAGTTCTGGGTGTTATTTGGAGATTTGATCGCACGAGAAGGTCTGTATGATATTTTAAGACTCGGGTGCATGTTCAGTTTGGAGCCCCGAGGACACGGGTAAGTGTCGGATAGGCTACGGAGTGAGATTTGGCTTGGAAAGCACTGCTGGTGCATCTGATATTGTTGCAGGCCCCTCAACTCGCATTTGCGAGATCAGGCATCGCATTTGCGACCTTTGAAGGGTTCGCATTTGCGAGATTCTCATCGCAAATGCGAAGAGAAGCTGGGCCACCTTATGTTCGCATTTGCGATGGGGACAGGGGGAGGCACTCTTCGCATTTGCGATCATTTAATTTCTTCATTTTTGCGAAGGAAGCAGAAGTGTGGGAGACCTCGCAAATGCGATGGATTTCTCGCATTTGCGGGCTTCGCATTTGCGAAGCACAGGTCGCATTTGCGACATCTGCAGCTGTGTAAAAGTGATTTAGATGGGATTTTTCTCCCATTTTTAAAATTTTCAAAACGTAAAACACAAGAGGCGATTTTCCAAAGAACGTTTCTTTCCCAAATCATAGGTAAGTGATTCAAAACTAATTTCTTTCAATCTTTCAATACATTATATAAGAATTCAACCAAGAATCTAAGATTTTCATGGTGGAATTGGGGATTTTAGGGTAGAAACTATGGATTTCAAAAATTGGGGATTTAGACCTCAAATTGAGGTCGGATTCCAAAACCAATTATATATTCGGGCTCGAGGGTGAATGGGTAATTGGGTTTTGGTCCGAATTTCAGGTTTGGACCACGCGGGCCCCGGTGTTGACTTTTTGTTGACTTTTTAAAAAATAACATAAATTGAATCATTTGCAATCATGGGTAGTTCCTAAGGCTTAAATTGAATCGTTTGGTTGGTAATTTGCTAGATTATATTAGTACGGAGGCTTAATTGAAGGGAAACGATGTGGTTGATCTTTGAGTTGGCCGTTGGAGCGAGGTAAGTGTCGTGGTTAACCTTGGCTTGAGGGATTAAGTATTATTTGCTTATTTACTATGTGTTTGTATGTTAGGTAAAACGTATAGGTGAGATGACGAGTTCCTATGCGTTGTTGTCGAGATATAGCATGCGAATTAGTCCTATTCTTGTGATTGTTGCTTTCTTTGATCATATTATCCATATTTAGACTAGCTACTTGTTATGTTGAGCACTTTTATCATGTTTACGGACCTTGGTATTGATTGAGTAGTGAATAAAAGATGAGGTTGATATTGTGGAACCATATGTTGAAATAAGACTTGTTATTGTCATTTCTATCTCCCTGTTATTATTGTTCCTTGTTAGGGGAGGGAGAGTGTTAATGCACGAAGGGTGATGACGTGCTATGTTTTTTGAGTGATAATGCATGAAGGGTGATGCCGTACCAAATTGTGAGTGTTAATGCACGAAGGGTGATGCCGTGCCATATTATGATAAAGTTAATGCATGAAGGGTGATGTCGTGCCGTTTCTATTGTTTCATACGGTGAGATTGAGAGTAAAAGACGAAGGGTGATGCCGTGCAGTTTCCTTTACCGTGTTTACTTGTTTCTATCTGTTTAAGGCATATTGGTTGATCAAGTCCTTAGCACTGCTTTGATTCTTTATCTTGTGATCCCCTCAGCTTGTCTCTTTCCATTATTACTTGTCTTGTTTCTTTTGTTGCTTTTATTGGTATATATATTGTTATGTTGCACATGTTTATTTATGGGTGTCTTGTCTTAGACTCGTCACTATTTCGTCGAGGTTAGGCTCGACACTTACCGGTACATTGGCGTCGGTTGTACTGATACTGCACTCTGCACTTTCTGTGTAGATTTGGTACCGGTTCAGGCTGGTCCTGAGTTTACCTGCTGGCTTCATCTGATCAGAGACCCAAGGTAGTCCTGTTGGCATCCGCAGGCCCTGACGTCCCTTTCTATACATTCTCTTTATTGTTTCATTTGTATTGAAAACAATTGTATTTCCTTCAGACAATTTACTTGTAATTTAATCTTAGAAGTTCGTGAATTGTGACTTCAGATTCTAGGTAGTTGTGTATAATTATTAAGGTTGTTTATGGATTTCCACACTCTTTCTCGTTATGGCTTAATTGTTGTTAATTACTGGAAGGTTTAAGAGTTTGGCTTAATAATCTCTAATATTGTGTTGCCTAGCAAGTGAAATGTTAGACGCCATCACAGTCCCGACGGTGAGAATTCCGGGTCGTGACAAGTTGGTATCTGAGCACTAGGTTGCCTAGGTCTCACAGTTCAGGAACAAGCTTTGTAGAGTCTGAGGGATCGGTATGGAGACGTCTATACTTATCTCTCAGAGGCTATAGAGTTTAGGAACAATGTCATTTTTATTCTTCTCTATCGTGCAAATTTGTTCTCTCATTGCCAACTGAACTCTTCTACTCTTGTTCTCTCGCAGATGGCGAGAACACGTACCGCATCTTCAGCTGAGCAGCAACCAAAGCCCCTAGTGCCAGCTCTTACGAAGGGTAGAGGACGAGGCCGTGGCCGTGCTAGAGGCCGAGGCAGGGGCAGGGCTCATCCCAGAGCTCGAACAGCTCCACCAGTGGTGGAGCCTCAAGTAGAGTTTGATGAGGAGGATCCATCCTAAACCGTTCCAGCAGGACAAGCTCAGGTCTAAGAGGGGTACATCGCCACCCCAGTGCTACAGGATGCTTTGGTCTGTTTGGTGGTCCTGATGGAGAGTGTAGCCCGGACTGGCACATTTCCCATGGCACCAGCCATCTCTTAGGCTGGAGGAGGAGCGCAGACTCCTGCCACTCACACCCCGGAGCAGGTGGCTCCCCAGGTGCAGACTCCAACAGCTCAGCCAGTTGGAGTAGTTCAGCCAGCTGTTGTGGCACAGGCCGGTGATGGTCTATGACTCCCGAGGGTTTATTGAGATTGGACAAGTTCACCAAGCTCTTTCTAGTTCACTACAGTGGTGCACCTTTTGAGGATCCCCAGGATTATCTTGATCGCTGCCATGAGGTGATGTGGAACATGGGGATAGTGGAGACCAATGAGGTCGACTTTGCTGTGTTTCATATTTTCCGCGAAGAGATGGTGGAATGATTTTGTATTGACCAGACCAGTTGGGTCGCCTGCTTTTACTTGGGATGAGTTCTCTCGGATATTTCTTGAGAAGTTTCTTCCTATCACCTTGAGAGAGGACTATCACAGGCAGTT